CTCATATGTGGAATCTAAAAAACAAAACCAACAAAACTAAAGATAAATACAGGACAGAAATAGAGTCATGGACAGAGAATACAGACTTGTGGTTACTGGGGGTGGGTAGAGGGTGGGAAGGGATAGACTGGGATTTCAAAATTGTAGAATAGATAAAAAAGATAACACTGTATAGCACAGGGAAATATACACAAAATGTTACGATAAATCACAGAGAAAAAAATGTGACAATGAGTGTGTATATGTCCATGAATGAGTGAAAAATTGTGCTGAACACTGGAATTTGACACAACACTGTAAAATGATTATGAATCAATAAAAAAATGTAAAAAAAAGGGACCCCAGATGGCAAAAGTGTCTAAGGTCTACAAAATTCATGATGTGGCCCTAGTGGCAGGAGAATCACTGCATTCACTTATAGTAATATATGAAGCTAGCACTTTATAGTGTTTTAGAGCATAAATACTCCAGTCCACTGAGAATCAGCTGCGGCCTGATGTGCAGAATGAGAAGGTCCAGTGAATGGCTGTCAGAACTGTATCATGGAGCTGTCTGCCAGCTGAGTGGATCCTGGCCCTGCTCAAGCCCAGCCTGTAAGCTTTCCTTCCTGAATAATTAAGAGGCTAAAAGAAAAGAGGGTCAGTACTCACACTGCTACAGCTTAATATTTTTCCTTAGTTATGGCTTTCCATCAAGGTGAAGGCAAAAATATAAGTCCCTAGGATGAGTGCATTACTCTCCTCCTAGCAGACACATCCTTAGCATACTTCCCTGTTTCTTCAGCAACCAAGAGCTGGTGCCTCAGCCAAAGGGCAAAACACACCTCAAGAATGCTATGGTATCAGTGTTATTTCTCACTCTTCCTGGTAGGTTTTAAATCTTAGATGTCATTAAATCCATTTCCTTCATTTTATTGGAAAGAAAACTGGAGTGCAAAAAGGAAGGTAACTTACCTAAAGTCACAATCCAAATTGGTGCCATAACCAGGAATAGAGGCCACTGTCTCTCTAAGTGCAAATAATGTATTAATCCAGTACCAACTTTTGTATTTGTAATATGGAGATAATGCTGTTAATTTCTAAAGATGACTTGTACTCTGTGGTATATAATCCTTATTTCGACAGATCAAGATATCCTACGTAAACTGGAGAAGGAAAAGATTCTTGTCTTCACACCATCCCGCAGGGTCCAGGGCAGGAGAGTTGTTTGCTACGATGATCGGTTCATAGTCAAACTGGCTTTTGATTCTGATGGCATCATTGTATCCAATGATAACTACCGAGACCTTCAAGTCGAAAAGCCAGAATGGAAGAAGTTTATTGAGGAGCGGTTGCTGATGTATTCTTTTGTGAATGACAAGTACGTTTCTTTCCAGTAGGCTCTGAGTAGCCTCAATCCAAGTTACCACTAGGAATAGATTTCACTTCATTTCAAGAACCATTTATTGAATACTTACTGTGTTACCGAGCATTGTGCTGATTGCCGTGGGGATAAAACAAGAAACAAGACTTACCCTTTAGATGCTCAAAGTGTACTGGAGAAGAGAGAGAGATAACCACACTGTGTTATGATAAGTGCTATGATTACAGTTTTTTAAATTGCCTTGTCTATGTGAAGTGATAGGAACAGACCTCACAGGGGAAATAACATTTAAGATATTATCAGACAGAGGAAAGGAGGCTGCTGGGTACAGGTAAAGGGGACATCATGAATAAAGCTATAAAGATGTAAAAGTAGGTTGCACGTTAAGGGAACCAGCAGGCATGTCAGTGTTATGCCAGATTATATGGCCAGAACATATAATCCATGGAAGAAAGATGGACAGGAGAAATCATCCTTTTTGTGTGTGTTCAAGTAGGAACAGAGGGAAGAACTACTGGCTTAGCAGAAGATAGAATTCAGACAGGAAGGCAATATTAGAAGGCCATTACAACAGTATAGGCAAAAGGTAATGATGTTCTGAACTCCTGATAAGGGAAAGTAGGGACATAATTGAAGACATTTACCACTGCCTTGCTTGCTTTCAGATTTATGCCTCCAGATGATCCTTTAGGACGCCATGGCCCAAGCCTTGAAAACTTCTTAAGAAAGAGACCTGTTGTTCCTGAGCATAAGAAGCAACCATGCCCTTATGGTGAGTACTTATGTGAAGAACTGAGCTCTGTACTAAGGGAAGCATAAGAACTCTGTGAATACTTTTATCTTCAGGTTTCCTTTTCTTTTTATTATCTTATTTTAATTTTTAACATTTTTTATTGAGTTATAGACATTTTACAATGTTGTGTCAAATTCCAGTGTACAGCACAATTTTTCAGCTATACATGAACATATATATATATTCATTGTCATTCAATGTTATTCATCTTTCTTTGCTGTGAGCTACCATAAGAACTTGTATGTATTTCCCTGTGCTACACAGTCGAAGCTTGTTTATCTGTTCTACATTTTGAAATCCCAGTCTGTCCCTTCCCACCCCAACCCCCTTGGCAATCACAAGTTTGTATTCTACATCTATGAGTCTGTGTCTATTTTGTATTCATGTTCTTTTTTTCTTTATTTTTTTTAGATTCCACACATGAGCGATCTCATATAGTATTTTTCTTTCTCTTTCTGGCTTACTTCACTTAGAATGACAGTCTCCAGGAACATACATGTTGCTGCAAATGGCGTTATGTTGTCGGTTTTTATGGCTGAATAGTATTTCATTGTATAAATATACCACTTCTTTATCCAGTCATCTGTTGATGGAAATTTAGGCTGTCTCCATGTCTTTGCTATTGTAAATAGTGCTGCTATGAACATTGGGGTGCAGGTGTTTTGTTTTTTTTTTTGAAGTAGGGTTCCTTCTGGATATATGCCCAGGAGTGGGATGACTAGGTCATATGGGAATTCTATTCCTGGTCTTTTGAGGAATCTCCATATTGTTTTCCACAGTGGCTGCACCAAACTGCATTCCCACCAGCAGTGTAGGAGGGTTCCCTTTTCTCCACAGCCTCTCCAGCATTTGTCATTTGTGGACTTTTGAATGTTGTGATTCCTTCTTTAAGTTTGGGAAGTATTCAGTCATGATTTATTCCAATACTTTTTCAATCCCCTTTGATCTTTCTTTCCCTTCTGGAGCCCTTATTATGCGTAGATTGGTATGCTTTATATTATCTCATAGGTCTCTTATGTTATTTTCATTAGTTTTTATTTGTTTTTCTCTCAGCTGTTCTGATTGGGTGCTTTCTGTTGTCCTTTCTTCTAGGTCACTTATTCGTTCGTCTGCATTATCTAGTCTGCTTTGTACAGCCTTTAGATCAGCTCTCATCTCAGCCAATGAGTTTAGCAATTTTACTTGGCTTTTCTTTACAGCTTCAATTTCATTTTTGACATATCTTATATATCTAAACACTATCTCTTTTAGTTCCTTCAGTACTTTGATCACTCCTTTTTTAAATCTTGACCTAGTAGGCCATCAATGTCTATTTCATTGATCCTTCTTTCAGGGGATTTCTCTTGCTCTTTTAATTGGGAGTGGCTCTTCTGCTTCTTCATCTTGCTCATATCTCTCTGGCACTGTGGCTTATGGAGTATCAGTTATCTATTGTGGTCCTTAAAGAGTTTATCTACCTAAAGCCTATGCAGAAATAAAAAAGAGAGACAGAGAAAGAGAATTTTAAAAGAAGGGAGAAAAAAAGGTTTGAAAACAGTGTATAATCAATAATAGAAGAGCAATTTGAATCAGACTAGCAATCGAGTTGAGACGTCTTTTTAAAGACCTTGAAAAAAGAGCAAAAAACAGTATTTGAAACCTGTGTATAATCAATAACAGAAGATCAAAACCAAGAGAAATGAAAATGAAATCAGGTGGATTTTTAAAGGGAATAATAATAAAAATATTTAAAAGAAAAATTAAAAAGGGATTAAAACTGGAAGCATATACAATTGTTTAGAAAGTAAAAATTAAAAAGGTGGTTGAAAATAGAACAGTTAAAAAAAGATGATATAAAAAGAGAATTTTAAATGAAGGGATGAAAAAAGGTTTGAAAACAGTGTATAATCAATAATAGAAGAGCAAGTTGAAGCAGACTAGCAATCGAGTTGAGACATCTTTTAAAAACCTTTCAAAAAGGAGAAAAGAGCAAAAAAAAATATGAGACCTGTGTATAATCAATAATAGGAGATCAAAACCAAAAGAAATAAAAATGCGATGAGGTGGATTTTTAAAAAATAATAATAACAAAAATATTTTAAAAGAAAATTTTAAAAGGGATTAAAACTGGAAGCATATATAATTGTTTAAAAAGTAAAAATTAGAAAAGTAATAGAAAATAGAACAGAGATTAAAAAAGGGGGGGTGTGCTCCTGGAGACTGTGCGCTCTTAATGATTTTATTGAGAAGTCTTTCTGTCTTCACCCTGTTTCGTGAACTCAGCTTGCTGTTTCCAGAGGCCCTCCATTGGCTCCCTCATCTGTGCTGCTCCCAGTGCCTGTCAGCAAGCAGATTGCGTCCCCTCCCAACACTGTGGTCAGGCGCTGCTCTCCTTCGTGGTGGATGGGTGGGTCACTCCTCTTCCCGATGTGAAGTCAGATGTGCTCGGGCGAGGTAGGCGGGCGGATCGCACCTCCCAGCACCGCGGTCAGATGCGCGCTCCTGCCAGGAAGGCACATGGCCACTAGCCCTCTCCCAGTGCCGGTCGCTCCCCTGCTCTGTGCAGCTGCCCGCTCCGACTCAGGTCTGCGCTCCATAGGCAGGCTCAGGGAAGACCGCGGAACAGCCTCACCCCTTCTCTGTGCCAAAACTCAGCTCCTTGTTTGTCTTGGTGGTGCGAGTTCTCTGAAGTACCAGGGCAGAAAGATCCTATCTGCCTCAGGCTGTAAACAAGTCTTCTTCTGGGCTTTGAGGCTGCTAAGCCCTTAGGTACAGATTCAGGTTTCGACCCCACCCCCACCTGGGTGCTAAGTGTTGGAGGATATGGGGGCTGTGCCTGAACCCTGCCTCTCTTCACCCAGAAACCTTCTGTGTGTTTTCAGAGATGGGGGTATGCACCCTTCCCCCCAAAGCACATCAGCTGTGTTGTTTTATGGAGGGCCCAGGTTGTTTTGCCCTGTGTACCCACTCATTCATGGCATGAAGCACCCTGCAGTCCCCCAGGGGTGCCTCAGTGCAGCTGCCCCAGTCCTCCGCCCAGCTCGGGCAGCCTGTCCTGTCCCCCAGCTGCAGGCTTACATCTCGGGCGGGGTGTCGCAGGGACACTTTGTGCCCGTTTAACTTAGTTCTGTCCCTCAAGGGGTGCTCCATACAGATCTGAGCCTCGGAGGCTCCCCCTCTGTCTCGCTGGCCTCTGTTGGAGGAGGGGAGACCCAGCGAATGAGCGCTATTCCTCCTTTGCCACTCCCTCCCCACGGGACCGGTCCCTCACTGTTTTGCCTTTTCTTCTTTCTTTGTTTCGTTTTCTCCCACCAGATCTTTGGCATCTCTATCTTTTGAAGAGGGTGCTGTTCTGTTGGAGTTTGGCAGGTGCTCTGGTTGGCGGGGTGGGTCTGTGGATGTGAGTCTTGGTGTATTTGTGGGAGAGGGTGAGCTACCAGCGTCCTTCTACTCTGCCATCTTGGGCCCCTAAAGTTTCCTTTTCAAAGGGAAAATCCTGGCTTGTCCACTTTCTGTGAGTTAAAGTCTATGTCTTCATGTATTTTCAGTTAGGCTTGTGAAGAAACATCCTTGAAACTACATGAGGAAAAGGTAACTAGAATTGAAGGAAAGATGAATTGTCACTGGTTAAAATGATTCATGTGTTCTAGCTGCCTCTGTCCTGAGCAGTGTTGCTGGAGGCAGGGAAGTGCAGAAAGACACTTGGCCTGTGGAAGCTGAAAAGGCAATGCCAAATGAGGTTTGGCCCCAAGAAGGACGTGTCTCTTAGGCAGGTGGCTGCACCCTCTGTTGACTAATGATACTGTTTTCTTCCAACCTGTACTGTCCAATTTGCTTCCAAAATGTGTTTTCATTTCCTTTTTTAAATATAGTTTTCTAGAGTACTTTCATAATCTTACCCAAGTCCCTCTGTTACAAAGTTTGTGAGCCTCACAGTGTGGCATGGGCTGTCCGGTCTGAGGCTACTTTGGATGTTAACTCTTTGGATAATCATTTGTTTATGGAGCATCTTGGGTTTTGTCCTCTGTTAACATTTATTTAAATCATAGAGTATTTCATGTTCATTATCTTCATTTAATCCTCCAATGACCCTCTAATATAAGCATTATTATGAACCTTGTTTACAGAATAGGAAAATGAGGCTCAGAGAGTAAAACCACTTACCAAGATCACACAGCCAGTAAGTGACATAGCTGGAATTAAAACTCAGGTCTGACTGGCCTCCAGGTCAGTGCTCTTTGCACATGTCCTGTGCTGCCTGCTGCTGCTCTCTGCTGCCTCTGCAGGCAGGTTATGCTGAGGCAAAGTTGTGAATTACAGGGAAATGAAGGCTGTTCAACAGCTCAGCTCTTAGCTTCCACACCGCAGTTTCCTCCCCAACTTTCCACTCCTTCCTTCTCCCTTCACCGTGTGTGATGCCAGCTTGGTGTTGTGCATCTCTTGTCTTTATGGACAGTTAATTTTCTACCTTCACCCCAAACAGTAAAACTCTAACCTGAGTGACCAGATTGTTATGACAGCTTCTATCACAGAGAGTTGCATCACTCTGAGAAAGAGTCTTACACCAAGGCATTATTTTTCAGGCAAAAAATGCACCTACGGCCACAAGTGCAAATACTACCATCCAGAGCGGGCCAACCAACCCCAGCGTTCAGTGGCTGATGAGCTCCGCATCAGTGCCAAACTGTCCACAGTGAAAACCATGAGTGAAGGCACCCTAGCCAAGTGTGTCACGGGGCTGTCTAGTGCCAAAGCTGAGATAACCTCAGAAGTCAAACGTGTGGCCCCCAAGCGCCAGTCAGAGCCCAGCATCCGGTCCATGGCTGTGGAGCCTGAGGAATGGCTGTCCATTGCCCGTAAGCCTGAGGCCAGCTCTGTCCCCTCACTTGTGACTGCTTTAAGTGTCCCCACAATCCCACCCACCAAAAGCCATGCAGTGGGTGCACTCAACACCCGTTCAGCCAGTAGCCCAGTGCCAGGATCCTCTCATTTTTCCCACCAGAAGTCCTCGTTGGAACACATGACCAGCATGCAGTACCCCCCAATCCTGGTTACCAACAGCCATGGGACCCCTATTAGCTATGCTGAGCAATACCCGAAGTTTGAGTCCTTGGGGGACCACGGCTACTATTCGATGTTAGGCGACTTCTCCAAATTGAACATCAACAGCATGCATAATCGAGAGTACTACATGGCTGAAGCAGACCGGGGCCTGTATGCCCGGAATCCCAACCTCTGTCCTGACAATCGTATGAGCCATACCAGGAATGACAACTATTCCTCTTACAACAACCTGTATTTGGCTGTAGCAGATGCTCATCCTGAAGGCAGTTTGAAGCTGCATCGCTCAGCATCTCAGAACCATCTTCAGCCTTTTCCTCATGGTTACCATGAAGCCTTAACTCGAGTGCAGAGCTATGGCCCAGAGGATTCTAAGCAAAACCCCCACAAGCAGTCAGTCCCCCACTTAGTTCTGCATGCCCAGCACCCAGCAACTGGAGCACGGTCCAGCTGTCCTGGAGACTATCCTATGCCTCCCAACATTCATGCTGGGGCAACTACCCAGCCAGGACGTGCTCTGGTGATGACTCGGATGGACAGCATTTCTGATTCCCGCCTCTATGAGAGCAACCCCATGAGGCAAAGACGACCTCCTCTGTGCCGGGAACAACATGCCAGCTGGGACCCACTGCCCTGTGCAACGGACTCCTATGGCTACCACTCCTATCCCTTGAGTAACAACCTCATGCAACCATGCTATGAGCCAGTCATGGTACGGAGCGTTCCTGAAAAGATGGAGCAACTTTGGAGGAATCCTTGGGTTGGAATGTGCAACGATTCCAGGGAGTATATGATCCCAGAACACCAGTATCAGACCTACAAGAACCTCTGCAACATTTTCCCTTCAAATATTGTCCTTGCAGTGATGGAGAAGAATCCCCACACTGCAGATGCCCAGCAACTGGCAGCCTTGATTGTTTCTAAGCTTAGAGCTGCACGTTGACATGACATAGGACTTATTTCCTTCTATGGAGATAAAGATGATATTAATAATGCACTAATACTTTGAGAATATTAACTAATAATTTTGTGTTGTGCTTTACAAGTTACAGAGTTTATGTCATTGAAGTGCATAACAACCCTGTGAGGTAAGTCTTACTAATGTCTTGTTTTTGAGACAAGGAAACTGAAGCTCAGTGAGATTGAGTTAAGTGACTTGCCAAAGTCACACTACTAGCAAGTGACCAAGTCAAGACTCACACCCAAGTCCTCTGACTCCAAGTCCCATGCCCTTTTGCACTGCACCATGCAGGTAATGGAGGACAAAACCCAGGGGAAGAGCCTAAATGAAAGAAATCCCAAGGGATTCCATTACCAACTGTCTTCTTAGTCACACAATGTATAACATATTACAGGTACAAAGTATCAATTATATACCTAATTTAGAGAGTAAGAGCAACAGGACCAATCCATATGTTGAATTAACCTTTTAGAATTTTTAATAGGAATATTTATAGCTATTTAAAAGTCAATGCACACTTTATTGCATGGATATCCGACCATTCAATACCTTTATTAACCAAGCTATAGGGTCACATTGAAGCTTCTAGAGCTATATTTCAAACATATTGTTAGCAATTATATTGCATGTATGATTGTCTGTATTTAGTTTGAGGTGTGTGTGTGTGTGTGTGTGTGTGTGTGTCTATATATAACATTTTCTATGCTGATGATAAGATGATAGGCTCTGCACAGTCCTTAGTCCAAGCTATATAGATCACAAATCTGACCTGATGATTTTATGTCACGTTTCATAGTTTCAACTAGTTTTGAAAATGAACTACATCCTAATATTTGAACATTGCTTTCTTAGACACCAGAGCAAAGTAGCTCTATTTTCTTTGCACTTTTTACTTGTCAACATTTACTGACATTTCTTAGCTTTTAAGTCTCTTCACCTCAGTACATTAGGGATTAGATTGCAGCCTCCTTCTTCAGAGGAGCTGATGGATAAGCTCAAGTTCCAAGCATAGTAGGTGTGTGCAAGACAAGCACAGAAGAATTTGACCAGCACCAAGGGATTTACTACCAGAATTCGCTTCCCTTAATAACGGGAGAGATGGCCAGACTCATTCGGCAGTAAATGATGAACACAAAAGCTGCACTCCAGAAGTGTCTAAATGGATGCTCTTTGGACTTCTGACCTATGCAGTATTCAACATCACAGGATGAAACGTAATGGAGGACAGTGCACAGCCATGTAATCCACTTTCTCCTGCCATCCACCCTTTGGGCAATAAGGTTGATCATTGGTGGAACAGAATTTCTTTAGGAAACAAAATCAGGGGATTTTTCTAGGTGGAAAAGGGCAGCCTCCAAAAGGGGATGCAACATTTTTGTTAATAGCTGGCTCAGTTACACACCTCAAATGCATGCAGAGGGTTCACTAGACCTTATGTTATTCTTAAATGCATTACTAAAGAAGGCAGGACTTTGGGTTGATGGCACCATTTGCGCAACTTGTATCTTGCTCAGGGTGGGAATCTTTGTAGCTAAATGCCTCTATAAGAGGCACTCATTGTTTTTGGTTTTTTTTAAAGCTGTACTAAATGAACCCCTTTTTGAATCCATTGTATATTTCAACACTTTGAATCACTGACCAGCTCACTGTTCCTTGGGCTGGAACTTGCTAATTTCTATGGCCGTTTTTTCATGAAAGTTGAGAAGGCCTGGTATTGGCCTTTTGTTTCTTCATGAGAAGGTGTGACACTGCCTATAAATGTTTCTTACTGTGAAACACTCTGAATGTGAAGCTGTAGTCAGGGTTGTTTCTGGTGATTTGATAATGGCTTGCATGCTGCTTTCTGGCTTCTGTCTCTGTCCTAGTTGATCAAAATTGCATTTCAGTGTTTCTCAGTTAATCATAGCTTCCCATTCATCCACTACCCTCTGATCTTTCTATTTCCCTGCATATTGAGGTGTAAAAGTGTTTTCTATCAGGTAGGTCCATAGAGAGTGAAGTGTTTGCTATTTTACACAAACACCATTTCATACCTTTAACCTCTTGGACCTTCTAAATTTGTCCCATGTCTAAATCAGGGAATTTTGACAATCTTAGATGACTCTAATGCCTTTGTGCCGGTTAGTTCAACTTCCTACCAAAATCATCCATGGCACCACAGTATCCACTAGCTGCACAATTTACAAGGAAGCACAAGATTAATCTTGTCAGTTGCAGTTCATCTGGAATATGTTCATGTTTAATACTCCAAAAATTGTAAGCTCCTCCCAAAACAGGAAATACTTTTTATGGCAGCATACGTATTTCTTATTTCCTAACAACAATTGCCATTCTTCTCTTCTCATAAAATGTGTATGAATCAAAGCGGCTAGGAGCAATGCCTCAAATAACCAGAGATGACCTTTTGTTGATGCAAATTGTATCTCTTTTTTTCCTGAATGTATAGAAGCAAATGTACAAAACTCATCTTAAACTAGGTTTGGTACTGACTTTTCACTATGATGTTTGTGGCACTGTGTGTCACAGGGGAGTAGCCCAGGGGTCATGAGGGAGCTTTTATTTCCAAAGGGCAGTAGTTTATAAACAAAGACAATTTTTCAAGGCCTCTTTATTACTATACGAAACAGCTATTGTGCATACAGTTTCAAGCATTATATTGCATAAGTTTCTCTTTAGCCTATTAAATTTAACATGTCCTTGCAAAAGAGCTTTTGTGTAAAAAAAGTGTCAGTGTTAGTGGTTCATCTGCAAGGATCTATAAATGGAACTGTACAATTATGAATGCATAAATCGAGCTTGGTTCTTAGTGAAGTGATTATAAAGAAACATTTTCTTCATACTGAGGACTGCACATTTCTTGGCTTTTCCATTCTGTCTATAATTATAAAACAGCAAATAAAAAGAAACACTGGAACCCTTTTGGCTCCCTAGATAAGAAAATCAAGCTTCCTTCTTAGGACTAAGTTTGTGTCCTTCAGGATACTTACCTCCAAACACTAAGCAGGGGTTACTGCACAGTGTTTTGTGTGGTTTTCAAAAAGTATATTTTGCAAGAGGTGCTTTGTAATTTTAATTCTTTCACAGAGTTTCTGAACTCATAGCAAGTCTGTGCCTGTTCAGGCCTTAGATTTTTAGATTCTGTGATTTGTTTTTTCTTTTTGTGATTTTGTTGTTGTTATTTTTATTTTGACCTGAAGAAGTGTGACTCTGGAGTAGCATGGTCAATCCAGGGCACCATTTCTGTAAGACAGCCCAAAGGAAAAGGAGCCTTTTCAAAGGTAGTATATGGCCATTGCACTCTCTCTTAAGGTGTAAGACATGGAAGGAACAATGACAGATGCCTTATGGAAATGGTATACAGAACTTTTCTTCTTCTAAATAATGAAATATGTATGTTTTCTCTCTCTCTCTCTCTCTGCTTGTTTTCAGGAGAATACTTCTAAAACCCATTTTTTTTCTATTTTAGGGTAAATTATCTTTATACAGTATTTCAAACATTGATATCTATTAACCATTGGCACTGAATTTTCTTCTAATATAGAAGAATTCATTTTGAGAGACTCTCAGTTACTGTTCTATCTGTGCTTTAAGTATGGGACTTTATACAAACACCCTTTTTGAGGGCCAACAATATCAATACACTTTAACTCTGTGAACCAGGTCTGGAACTGCACAGGGAAAGTAATGTGAAGCTGTCCAAAGAGCCCTGCTCAGGTCTCCTCCTAACCCTTCTCTGCCTTCCCCTAGTTTGCTTCTTCTCAGGTTTGACACTGAGGAGTACATAATCTTTGACTGAAATGGCACTACAGTTAGTTCTCATTGGAAAGCAAACAAGTATATTTTAGGTACCTGCTTGTCTAAGTAGTTGATGCCAAAAGGCTCAGCATATTCCATATCTGTCATAGTGTAGCTAGCTATATACATAGGCAGATTGATACTTCTAGTACTGGTTTGTGTATCATTGAACCTATAGTAGTTTGCTTTATCCATTTGTGGGATTAAACAATACTGTTTAATGGTTGTAAACTTTTATAAAATCTCTTTGGGTTTTTTGTTTGACCCAAACATAATGTAAGTCTCAATGACAAAATACACAAAGCCAACTGGAGGTGAGTGGAAATATACCCTGTCCCCAGTTTTGTCTGCCCCTGTAATGCATGTACAGTGCTTTGCAGTATGTTCTCACTAGCATGAATGTGCTATGACAACTTCACAAGGTTTTAATTTGTTTCACCTATAATCATGATGGGAAATGCTGTATCACTGACAATGAACTGTAACCACATTTCATTTCTGCATAAACTTTTTGTTTACTAACCACTAATGGCTCTGTTTCTTTAAGAACATCAACAACAAAAGCCATAACTGCACCTACATATACACACGCTTGGCTCCTGAAAAATTAGATTTCTCTCCTTGGGACTTGAATCTTGAGGTGAGCTATAAGGGGAGAGATCTCTCTGAGTGAGTTTGTTACCAAATCCAAACTTGTTCTGCGTGCCACACAACTGGACAATAAATCAAGAGATGAGATATTGGGGCAAGGAATAGCGACTTTATTCAGAAAGCCAGTAGACCAAGAAGATGGCAGACTAATGTCCTGGAGAACCATCTTACTTAAGTCAGAATTCAGGCTCCTTTTATACTAAAAGGGGCAGGGGGTGTGGTTGATTGTTTCAAACTTCTTGTTGCAGAAATTCTTTGTTCTTGCAGCCGTCCATGTGGGTCAGGTCATGGTGTCCCTGTAAACGCTCCAACAAAACAAATGCTATTTTCTATTCTGTAACTTGTATTTAGATAAGTGCAAAAGGTCAGAGCCTTGAGAGTAGTCTCTCCTATATATTTCAGGCTAAAGGCAACATTCTTTTACAAAAGGTGCAGAGCTAGCAAAACTAAGCCTAGAAAACAGAGCACAGGGTTAAAGCCAAAGAAACAGATCTAATATGGAGTCAGATTTGTTTTCTATTACAAGTTCACCTAGATTTTATCAAAGTAAATATATGCCCTCTAATTTTTGTATACTAGTTGCTAGTCAGTTGGTGTTTCCCACAGGGCTGGGCTGGGCCAGGCCTCCACTGGTGGGTCAGAACCAGGTATAGGGCTCAGGGCCCAGGCTTATGTCGGTAAACAACCCACTGTTTCCCCAGAATAGCCTCAGGACCACAGAGACTTCATCTGCTGGGCCTTAGCTAGAATATCAGAGCTAGAAGCCTCCTGGCACCTTACAGTTCATGGAGAAATCATTTCGGGAGTGCTCAGCTTCATGAACTCCATCAGGTTACAGGTATGGAAACTGAGGCACCAAGAACTGAAGATATTTGACTGACTGAGGATGAACAGGGAGTTAGTGGCAAAGCCAGGACTGAAATCCCAGGCTTTATTGCTGCCAGGACAGGGAGCCCTTTATCACAGTGGTGTCTGCTCTTCCCTTAGGCCTCTCTGGAGCCTCCTACTCCTCTCTGCCCTCCCCACACGTACTCCAGGCCAGTCTCATTCTAAAGGCAGAGGTTGACACAATGGCTGCAGGGGAGCCCAGCCTAGGAACCTTTAGAAGGTGCTAGTATTTGTGAATCTGAGAATCTCTCTTTTTTCTTTTATCTTTTGTACTTTTTGGGACTAAGAGTGCTCATCTCTCCCCATCATTTTCCTCTTCTGTCTTTCCTCTCACATTTCTCAGGCATACATTTATCAAATCCTTACTGAGTGCCAGTTAGGGGCTTGGCCTATATTGGGCTAGGGAGAGACTGAAGAGAAGGAAACAGTTCCTGTCTTCTGTAACTTGCTTTTTAGTGAGGGGATGAAGCATGCTTAGAGAATGGTAAACTAAGACTTTCCTGGAGGGCAGCGATAGTGTGAAGATAGGGGACATGATAAGAATAGTTAGAATTCTGAGAAGGGACAATTCAGTGTCCAAAGCCTAGGCTTAATCATAGGTGAAAAATCAACTTGTCTGACCATATCCCTCTCTAGCTGACCTCTTTGGCCTCAGGACCTTCCGTGTTCTTCACTGAACCCATATTCCAGTTATCCTGAACCCTTCACTAGTGCTTCACCATGCCATGCTCTTCTTTATCCCCTCCACAATTTTACCTTCCATCTACTCTTTGTTTTGACTAGTAAACTCTTGTCTTTGAAGACTCACTGCTAACTTCCCCTCCTCTTTTAAGCAGTCCCTCCTTCTTATCCAGACATTGTTAGTCCTTCTCTCCAGGGGCAGGGGCTTACAGGCATCTTGAACAATATCTCTCTTTTAGCACTTGTCACTGTTATAATTATGTTGACATGCAGATGCCCTTACAAAACAAAGTTACTTAGGGACAGGAAACATGCTCTTCATCACTGAGGAATTATCTCCTATCAGAAGAGTTGACTCTCAGTTACTGTTGTTGAATAACAATATCATCAGTACGCCTTTCCCTTGATCCCCTAACCCTGTTCCCCAGTTAAATGTATGCAGTTCAAAGACTATCTAATCAGTCTCCAGTCTCTAGTCAGAAGGAAAAGGTCTAAAGGCACTGGGCTAAGGTTGCTTCCTGACCCATGCTCCCCCAACCCCCTCCCTCATTTCTCACCCCCAGGTCTTGTCATCTGAAGTAGCCTTTCCCAGGGACCTGACTTCACAAATTCCAGGTTTCAGGAGGACTCCAGCCAACAATGACCCTTGGTTCTTACTCTGCCTGGGTCTGGACTAGAAATGAGCGTTGATAGCCTAGGTCAGTCTTTGAGGGATAGGGGAAAGCACTTTGTCCTAGGTTACATGGAGATCTGAGTGCTGGATTCAAAGCATGCCAATCCTGCCATGAATCCACAACACTCACACAAAGTATGAAAAGCTTTCGAGAGCACTTTCACATCTATTATTTTTTTTTGATCCTTACAATAAACCCATGAGGCAGATATCCTTCTACAGATGAAGAAACTGTGGCATGATTTGCCCAAGGTTGTTCCCATTAAGTGGTGGAGCTTGCCTTGAACCTAGGTCTTTGGGTAGCTTTTTCCTCCATACCAGAGCGCCTCATACTCTATAGTGTGCATCAGAATCATCTGAAGGGCTTGTTGAACCAGATTGCTGCCCACCCTCAACCTTACTGATCTAGGTCAGGAGTGTGGTTCAATAATTTGCTTTTCCAACAAGTACCCAGGTGATGCTGATATAACAAGAAACACAGATCTATACCAACCTGTTAACTTGTTGTTTGCCTTTGGGCAAATCCCTTCCCTTTTTCTCTGCCTTCGTATCTCATGTATAAAATGAGGGGGCTAGACTAGAACTGATTTCCAAATGTTTTTTTAGCAGCAAAGCCCATTTTGAAAAAAGAAGTCTTATATATGACACCAATACATGCACAATAGATAAAATCCAGGCTACTGTAGAGAAGTGCTGGAGGGGAACCAAGTACTTGCAACACTCATCTCCCCACGGAGCAGATGCTGAGTCTGTGTCCCAGAATGCACATTTGCAAATCCTTGACTAGATGTGGCCTAGACACTCCTTGAAGGCTCCTTTAGCGCTGACATTCCAAGATGCTATGAGACTTAGCATTTGGCAGGAGAGGGAAGAGTTGGATAGAAACTGACTGCATTAAGCAGTGCTGGAGACTGCCCTGACCATTTTTAATGCTGGGGTCCAGAGAGGACAGGAAATCTTAATGCTTTGGGGATGTTGGGCTCATGGACCCCTTTGATAATCTAATTATATCTGTGGACTAGCTCTAGAAAAATGATTATATACACATACAAAGATGTTCAGGATATCCTTTAAGAGGTATTGGGGACTCCCTAGGAGTCCTAACTCATTTAAACCCTTGACTAGGCTCTGGCAGGGCATTTCAACTAAATTCCTTCTTGGCATTTTTATAGTATATGCCCCCTCCTTCCTTTTATCATTCTTTGGCTTGTTCAGCCAGCTTTTTGGCTGGAATGCTGCCTGGTTCTGTCCCTTATTTCCCTATGTCTGGGCCCAAACTGGCCCCACAGAGATGCATACTCTTACATAGGTGTCACTCTCCTGATTGGCGATGAGGAATACTGTAGCCAGACTTGAGCTTGGTCAACCACCACCTTGAGAAAACAAAGAACTTGTGGCACACCAGGGCTTTCTTAAAGCACTTAGCAAAGGGATCAAATTATCATATTTGGTGGACTTTGTCCCTTCTCAGCAGGCAGAGGGCTCTGAGGGGTGAGACCTTAAGTTTATTCATCCAAGTTAATTCATCTTGGCAACTCAGGGCTGACAGGGTAGGCACTCTGAATGTCTGAAGGAACTGGGTGACCATGGAGGACCTCTGAGTCAGTCCCTAAGACATTTCTCTGCTCCAATGCCCACCACAGGGAAGTCCATTTTATCTTTTTCTAGGCAGAAATACAAGTGACAAAGGTTTTACTTTGGCTTTCAACTGCTGTTTGGTGCCCAGTGAGGGCAGGCAGGGAAATGAGCCAGAAGCCTGCTGTGTGGCATCAGGAAGAACTGGGTCTTCCAGCTGTCAGGGAGGTTCTGAGCAGATTTCCCTTATGATGGCTGGGCTCTATGGCCACCAATGCCTCTTTTGGGGCCCGATGCTTCCTGGTAAGCTGGCCCCACACTGCATTTCAATGAGCGGAGTGAAAATGGTTTGGGTCAGAAAAAAGGTATGAGCGGCAGTAGGCCCCAAGGGGCCTCAGAACCCAGCTCCTGCTCAAAGCTCTGTTATGATCCCACCTTCTCTTAGCCCCTAGAATAAGGGGAGAAGCACACAGCCCCTCATCTCACAAACACCAGAACAACAATTGACTGTTTATTGTTTTTCAAAACAAAGCAAAACAAAATCAAAGTTCCTCTGTGATGGAAAACTGAGCTGATATGGTGGATGCAGGCTGTCTCCCAGGTTATTTCCTGGAGCATTAGGTGCACTGAGAGGGTGGGCTGGATGCCCCAGCGGGGCTAGATGAACAATTACACCAGGCCAGGCATCAGAAGAGCTGCAGGCCAGTTTTGAGCCCGTGCAGCTGACCATGGCTCCAGAGAAGGCCGTCCAAGTTGCTGCTGTCACTGCTGTTGCTGCAGTTGCCACTGCCAATGCCACAGCTCAGGCCCAGGGTGCTGTGGAAAGAGGGGAGGGGCTGGTCAGTTGGGGAAGGAGGCAGCTTTAGGCTCTACAGGGGCTAAGGATGCTAGATGTGTGTGTCCATGGGGACAACCCACCCTCTAATCTGAGAATCCGCTTCAAGATGGGCCCCAGGAGTGGCTCTGCCCTCCCCTCAATTGAAGGAGGTGGGATAGGAGGATTGGAACTTTTCAAATAAAGCTTTATAGTACATAAATCAGATCGGAGCACAGCTATGTGGGTTGACGTAGGAGAGGTATAGTTATACTACCCCACTCCCAGGAAGGTATTGAAAGTGGCTGCCTAACAGACTTTCTTCCAAGGCCTTAAATCTTGGGGGCCCAAAGGACCCTAAGCTGGATCCCTCCCACCACAAGAGGTGGTTAAGGGGCCCAAGGCCAGGCTTAGGCTGCAGGGCTGGGCCCCTCTCCCATCCTAAGACTGCAAAATTGCTCAAGGGAGAAGACTGCCCTCCCCTTCCTTGGCCTTGCTCAGAATACTCTTGCTTCCCCTGCTTCCTGCAAGTCAAAGGTCCTTCCAGGTAGATGAGGGTGACAGCTGAGAGCAAAGCCATCATCCTTCCCCTCACAAAGATCCATGGTTATACTACTGCCACTGAAAAAACTCCTTAGAGATGATCTAGCCCCATCCCTTCCTATCACCTACTGTCTTACAGACAAGGGAACTGAGGCTCAGAGATGAAAAGGGACTTGCTCAAGGCCACACTGCTAAGTCAGGGGTGGAGCTGAGACAAGAAACAGGGGTGGGCATGCCCGCTCCAGCAGAGAAGTCTTCCTACTACAGGGGGTGTGGGGCTGGCCTCCTTCTGGATTTAACAGTGCTACCTACCCACACTCCATCCTTGAAACCTTAATACTCATCAAGATAGCCTTACCCAAGGAGGGAGGAGGTCTCTCTCTCTCAAACATGTGGGCTCCACTCCCAACTACAGACCACCCAGCTTCCCCAGCTGCTTCCTCTCCTCTCTAAGAGGCCTGCTGTCCCCAGCCTAGGACAGAGAGTCCATGGCACTGCCTTGGGCCTGGCCTGCTGCTGGGGCGCCTGGGTTCTACAGCCCTCTCTCTGAATGTCTAGAAGAAGAGGGGCTCATCTCCCATGAAGTGGGCAGGTGGCACAGGGACAGACTGTTTCAGGGGCCCACAGAGGTCTCTCTCTGGTACTCACAGGATTCTCCCGGTCACAATGGCCCCGCATTCCGGAATGTACAGGACCTCTGGACGGGCTCCTTTGTGTTACCAGCAGAGCCCCTCAGCAAGGGCTGCTTGATTCCTGGCTCCCTGATGACCCAAGGGCTCTCACGCCTGTGATCCAGAGGCAAGTTTCGAGGGAGAGCGTGGAGCCCTGCGTAGGCCTTGCTACCAAGATGACAGGACAGTGTGGGGAGGCCTACTGATTACTCTGTGAACCTCTGGACAAATCTCTTCCCCTTTCTGGGCCTCAGTTTTCTCCTTAGGAACGTGAAGAAGTTGGATTAGAGCACCTGTTCTTGACCCTTTAGAGAATCTGTTGAAAGCTATGTACTGCTCCCTTCCCAAAAATGCACATACACACGTACATACACACAAACTCACCCTCTCTCACATGCACACCTGCATGCATGCACACAAACCAACTGGATGCAGTCTGAGAGGGATGCGAAGCTAGTTCTGTATGGCTGCCTCACTGCCCCCCCCTACTAGGGGCTGGAAGTCCTGGCAAGGGCCCAGCTATAGGGAATGGAGCTTATACTTCATTCCTTTGGGCCCTGACTGGAGACATCAACCTCCCCAATCCACCCCACTCTAGGTCCTTCTCTCCCTCCCTCCCTTCTCCCTCTCTCTCTCCTACAGGAGGCAGAGAAAGGGGTGGGGAATCCTGCTGCCATGTGCACTCACCCAGCCTTGCATGTTGGTGGTTCCAGCCGCTGCTCTAACACAGGCTGGTCCAAAAGATACATGGTGTCATAATTTTCCAGCATAAGCTCTGCTGGGTCCTCGGTCTGACCTGGCATTCGGCCTAAGGGGAAGGTGTCCCATCGTATATCTTCTGTGGAGCAAAAAGAGGAGGCAAGAGAGGGTTGATTAGCTAGTTCTCAGATGGGTGCACAGGCCCACCTACCATGTCTGTCCACCTACCTGCCTACCTGGGCATCTTCAGCCTAGCTCCTCTCTACCTCAGTTTCCCCCACCCCTTCCGTACTCCCACACACACTCTTTATGTCCCTTCTTCCCTTCTATGTTTCCAAGTACACCATCCCCAACACAAGCCATCTCCACCCCCCACATAACATGCACACAACTATAGATATTTTTGTTCCTCTCCACTCTTCTCCCACTTCCCCAAACATGTCCCGACACAGACACAGACAACTTCAGTCCTGGCTGTATCACTGCCTCAACTTTCACCCTCAACCCCCATTTCCACATACGCATATATATATCCTAGAAAGTCTGGATCCCCAGAATTCCAGCTGTCCCTCCTTCCCAAACCCAAAGATACCTCTGAGTATCTGAATGACCTAGATATCCTACACATCTACACCCCCCACCATGTTTAAATGCCACACTTCTTCGTGGCCTTGTCTTGAGAGAGATACACACACACTCACATACCACTTCAGGGTGAACACTCTCTCAGAGGTATTATGCTCCCCCTGCCCCCTGCAAGGTTTTGTTTCCCCCAGATGCACACATAAAGAACATCCTTTCTCTAGGGAAGGGCAATCTCACTGCATAGCCCACCCCCATCGCTGCCTCTAAGTATACATACATAAGCACACAGACCAAACCTTCCACTCAACAAAAGTTCCCAGTTTCACTCCCTGCCTCTCACACTTATACACAGGCCCACAAACCAGAAATCTTAATGTTCCTGCATCTCCACATGTCTATACACATACAGAGGAAGCAAAGCAAGGGAGAGAGGGAAAGATTTCAATATGCCCAAGCCTTTCTGCATTCACAAACCACTTCCTCCTTCCCTCCCCTCAACCCCCAAAATACACCCCTTCAGAATGGACCATGCCAGGCATTCTCTACCTTCTGCCCTATCAGTTAAATACCCTCCACACAGTATTATATGAAATCCCTTCCCCATCCTTACACCAATGCATCCCATGTTTTTAAGTGAAGCCTTCACTGGTGAGCTCCTTCAAGTAGATCCAGTTTCTGGCCTCCTGCATCTCCCTTGTACCCAAAAGATCCTCCCTGTCGTGATGTCCCTGGCATTCTGGAAACTATCAACTCCGGATTAGTTTTTTTATGCTATTCATAGAACCTTATCCAGGAAGGGCTGTACCTCTGCCTGCCCATCCCCACCAACCCCTGGCTCTATTACATGACGGAAGTTGTGCCTGTCTTAACATCTTCCATTACCCTATGCGTACAAAGATACCTTTGTACACAAGGATCATCCCCCCGACTTTTGTCACTGACCTGACCATCCTCCCTCCCCATCACTAACACTCCCAACCCTACCGACATCACTGCCCCTGCCTCTCTAGCCTGAGGCACGTCCCCTTGCTGATAGCATGGACACACATGCGCCATCTCTGGATGGCTGCCTCACTGCCTATTCTCATGCCTTTCCATATACCCCCAACTCTCACTGCTTCCACTTCTCTCCCTCATACAGATACCTACTGGTCCCCAAGGGTCTTGGCAATTCCACCTCCTCTTCCAAAAACAAACACAACCATGAGTGCATGGATACACAGACCCACATACAGCCCACTTCACAATTTCCCTTTTCACAACTCCTACTCACTCACTCACACACACACAATTCTGCCTGAGTCAATGCCCTGCCCTTTCGATATTTACAAAGATCCCCCAACACAGCCCTCCTTGCCCTGAGACAGCTTTCTGTCCCTGTGCCTTGGTTTGTCTAGCATATGCAGGCACACACGCATTCACATACACACAGACATAAGCATGTTCCCCCAGCCCTAGCACTCAGGATCTTTATGCCCCAGCTCTTCCACACACGTCCACATGAGGGCAAAGACTCCACCTTTCCCACTAAGTTCCTTCACTGCTGCTCCTCTCTCTCCCTACTGTTCCCCATCATGCCTATGCTACCCCACACCGATTCCCCTCCTGAGTTAGCTCCATCACACAGGCTGATCCCCACATCTACCTCTGCCTCCAGCATGTACACATACATACGTGCCCACATATACACATCAGATTGCTCATTCCTTTGGAATCTCCCTGCCTTAAGGTTCCTGCTCCCCAGCTGAAATAAGGGCATTCAAAAGACCACCCTCAGGAGGAGGAGATTCATGTTCCCCCACCCATCATCAACCCCCGCCCCCTCCCAGCTTTGTCTCACTAACTTATATACTCTAAAAAACTGCACTACTCCTTATTCTCACCTTTCTGATCTCACTTCCATTTCCTCTGACTTAATGCTCCTGGTTCTTCTTTCGCATACACACAACCAAATCTGGTCCAATCACCACCCAGTCTCCATGTGTACATACTCATTCACACATACACAGACAAAGCACTCTTCTTTAGCTCCCTGCTCCTTATCACTGCATGCAAAAGACACAGGCAGAAATCATGTTTATCTACCCCCTACCCCTCACTTTTTGTGTTTTGCTACCCAGTGCCCACACCCACACCAACCCCTCTGAAGGTGTTGTCTGCACGAGGCAGTTGGCTGCATGATGTTGCTAAGGTCCCTGGCGCTTACACACTTCATCGTAACGGGGAGGGAAGCCTACTGTCATTCACACATCAGGCTGCTTCCCAGGCTTGCCTCGCACTGCTACTTTCCATCTTATCTCTAGGGCGAAGGGAAGCCTCAGGAGCCAGCCAGAGAAGGAAGACAGGCGTGGGGACAAAGTCGTGACCAGGCTCCTTACCTGAGCTAACTTGCCATGCGGAGCCCTGCAAAGCTCCTCTTTTATGGGCCAGGAGCCTAGCATTCTCGGCAGTGGGGGATTCTTGCTCAGCAAAGAAAGGCTCCACCTCCATCCTGTCTTCCTCCTCATCATTTTCATCATCTTCATCATCATCCTCATCATCATCTTCATCATCATCATCATCATCCTCCTCTTCATCTTCCTCCTCTTCCTCCCACTTCTGGTCCTCATTTTCCTCTACTTCCTCCTCCTCCTCCTGGTCTTCCAAAACCTCTTTCTCCTCCTCCTCATTTTGCTTGATATCATTAAGGCCTCCCTGCTCTTCCTGCTGCTGGGCTTCTCCTTCAGGCCTGGAGCTAGAGCCAGCTGGTTTGAGGCTCCAATATAGGCTGTCCAGTGTGTATGGAGACTTCCCAATGGGAGAAGCCTCTGAGCCCTCCTGCACCTCGTTGTTTTCTCCACTCTGGGTATAAATGGAACAGATGTGCAGCAGCTTCTTCTGCTCCTCGTCTGGCAGGACCTGCTCCATGGCTTTGAAGATGCTGAGCAAAGGGAGGGATGTGGTAACAAAGATTCAAAATTTCAAGTCACTTCATACCTCAACACTCCAGTTTGAATTTGGTCTCTGAGCTGCCAGACCTGCCTCTGAAAGGCAGTGCAGCGGAGCAGAGAGAACACAGATACAACAGGACCATGGACTCTGAAAAAACTCTGTGATTGACTTCTGTGGCTCACTTCCATTCTCAATAAAATGAGGACAATAATGGCACCTAACTTATAGGGTTGTTGAGAGGAGTAAATAAGATAGCTCACATAGAATGCCTGGCACAGTGCCTGGCACATAGTGAGCATGCAATAAATGATAGCTATGAAATCTGTACTGCAATGTTATATAAATACACAAACTAGCCATTAGGCCTGCAGAGCTGGACATGAGAATAGTGGATCCCCCTCTTTAGCTGAGCAATCTGTTCTGAGCTCCAAAGATATGCCTGGAAGTGTGCTGTGCTCCTTCTGTATGGAACACAAAGTGGGATCCCTTTCTGGGAGCAACTACAGCCCAGCCTGGAATGGAGGAAAAGAAAAAAAAAGCAGCAGTTGACAAGACAAAGCAGGATGTGGGACAGAGGCCAGATGAGCACTGCAGACCTGGGCACCACAGGAGCTGGGGGAGGCAGAGAGCACAAGGAGGGCAGGAGAGATCAAGGGAGGGCTTCGTACAGAACCCAGAGTGAGCACACCATGCTGTGTGCATGCGGTGAGAGGAGCCTGGCTCGAGGGGAAGGGCTGTGCTCAGGAGCTGTGGGAGGAAGAGAAGCCTGCAAAGGTTAAGTGTGTGTGTTGGGTGGATGGGGGTCACCTGACGTTTCTGAGCTCAGGTGAAGGTTGCATTTCTAAAGATCACTGTGGGGCCCACGTGGAGGATGGCCTGGATGGTGCAGCCTGGAGCATGGGTGACCAGGGAGAGTCAATGAGGGCTGACCTAGGGCACTGGCAGTGGAGATGAGAGGGGGAGAAGCTGTGAAGGACAGACAGACAGACAGAGCAGGGCTTGGTGACCAGATGGTAGGGGTCAGGGAGAGAAGTTATAGATGACAACATCATGCACACAAAGGATGGCACTAACAACAAAACCACCAACAGATACAGAGCCGTGGGGAAGGAGAGATCCTGGGGAGGAAGAGGGTGAGCACTCCGTGCAGAGCCTCATGTAGGACTGGGCACCTAGCAGGCACCTAGTCACTGCTGGAGGCCTGTAGGGAGGACAGATGGATAGTTCCTTTCTAGGTGTATTGAGTTTGAGCTGCGGGCTCTCCATGGAAGGGCCATACTGTTTTCTCTCTGGGCCCCAGAGGCAGTCTGGCCACAAATGGGTGGTCGCTGGTCACTGGCTGCTGGGGACAGGGCTAGGAGCTAGAGACGCCACTCAGAGACTGGGAGACCCTCTCTGCAGGGCTAATTTCATGTTCCAAGAGGGCACTGGCTCAAATTCAATTGATATTGGCTGGCTGGGAGAAGCTCTCAAAAAGCTTCCAGCCTTATTAATAAGAGGAAAAGCCAGAGAGAAACTCTTCCCTCTCATCGTGGTCCATTAGTATGATTAATAATAAATATTCCCAGGCACTCGATATTGGCAAGATGCCACGTTACCACTGTTTATTCTTACCCATTGGCTATCACGAGCTGTCTAGTCTGACAACTGAGGTGCAGGAGTGATAAGAATCTTAAAAGCCACCTACTTTCTCAGGTTTGTCTGGTCCCAGCTTGGGACTGAGAAGGTCACGGGTCAGGCTAGTGGTAAGAAGCTGGACTCACAAGACCTGGGCCCAAATTCCTGTCCCACCATCAACAAATTTTATGACTTTTGGATAAGTCACTTCACACTATTCAGAGCCTCAATGTCTTTCTTATCTGTCAAATAAGAGTATAATACGTCCACCTCTAAAGATTGCTGTGTCAAGTGAAATGAAAAAGCTTCTACAAACACAGCACCATGCCCAACACTTAATTGCCAGTGGTATCTTTTATTTTTTCCTCTGGGGAAAATAAAAGTCAAGTTCTGTATGTGCCTAGTAACACATGCTTTTCGTAATAGTGCAATCTAATGCAACACTGTAGAAAGCACAGGAGTAAGGACAGGATATCTGAATTCTGGCCCCAGTTCTGACTTGCAGTCTTGCTATTGACTTGCAGCAAAATACCTGGGGAAATCCCATTTCCAAATCTGTATAATGGGGTGATTAGGACTAGATTCACTGATGATCTGGGAAAGGCAGGATCTGTGCACAAAAATCGTACCCAAGTGAGCCGCTGTTACTGCTGGCATGTGTCGCATCCCTCTGGTATGCTTGGGTTGGGAGATCTCTGTGGTCCAGACTTCTCCAAGACCAGCAGCTTCCACTCTGCAGGCACTTAGGATTGGAAAGTACCTTGAAGGCCACCTATCCAAACCTCTCCATGCTGCTCTTTTCATTCCCTCCCCACATCATATACACATGCCATGTTTCTTGTGGACTTTGAAATTTCCTTTATTCCTTCTCTTGCTGGAATTGCTCAAATGACTTCAGGACTTTTTGGTTCTCCTCCCAGTTTTCCACCCATCCATATCACTTCCAGTCTAGAGCACACACATCGGAGATTTGGCTGTTTGGTTCAGTCTCATCTCCTGGAGGTCTTGCACTGGCTGATTTTGTCAATGAGGCTATTTTTTTCTCTTATAAGTTACTTATAAGCTACTACTGCACTCCAAATGTCATCAGGGTTCAAGAAGGACTTTCTGACTCCATGGGAAGGATCAGGGGACTAAGAAGTTCTTAGAATCCAGATTCCCACTTCATTTATTCCTCAGGCATGGAGTCAGCTCCCACCAAAGACAGCACAGCTGGCCATGAGACAGCAGAGTTTGGTTGAGTTCAACAACATTTACGGAGGCCTATTTGGGGGCTGGACTTGTAGGGTGTGCTGGGGCATGGATGGCTAATGCAGAGTCCTTGCCCTTGAAAAGCTTAGTCTGTTAGAGGGAAGGAGACACTAGGGGAATAGACACAGCAACACAAAGTCTCAGATTGGAGAAGTACTTGAAAGAATCAATGTGACAGTGTAGACAGGGCCACTAGCAAGTGAGACAGGGAGCAGGGGGAAGATCACTTTGGGGCTGGAGCGGGAAGTAAGATGACCAATTCTCTTCTGTCACAGTAAGGTGCCTGGAGGCCATCCAAGGGGAGAAATCTGCATGCAGTCAAATATGGGATGCTGAATCCTGGAGAAAAAGCCTGAGCTAGATAAAGAGATTTGGGCCTTGGTACTTTACAGGAACTAGTTAAAAAAAAAGACACAGGCATTTCAAGGCAGTGGTAAACAGCGTCAATGCAGCAGACATGGAAATGGAAAAGGGCCCACTGGATTTGGTAATTAGGTCAAAGGAAATCTGGGAGTGAATGCCAAATTGCATCAGGTTGTAAGGAGTAAGAAGGTAGTGAGGAAATCTAGATTGCTGAGTGTAGACTACTCCCTTGAGATGTTTTGATGGGAGGGAAAGGAGTGATAAGCTAGTGATAACCCCACAAAGGGATGCAGGATCAAAGGAGATTTTGCTTGTGGTGTTATTATTGTTTTGTCTTAAGATGAGAAAAATTCAGGCACATTCATAGGTTGAAGAGCAAGAGCCAGTAGAGCAAGGGAGAGGCTGGGGTGAGGCCCCAGTGATGCTGGCAGAGGCAGCTCCAGAGCACAGGTGGAGGAGTAGGCTTTGAGGTTGGGCAAGACCACCTCATCCTGAGACTGGCGAGAATGTTGAGTGGAGCCGCAGATCAGTTCACGAGGGCTGGACCTCGGGTCGAGGAGGCCCTGCTGGAGGCCTCCATGTGCTTGAGGAAGCTAGGGTGAAATGGGAGAGGGGGAGGGGCTTGAGGTGAGTGGTAAGGGTTTAGAGTCAGGAAACAGGAGAGAAAGTGGGCAGAAAACAAGTAAAAGTTCAGACAAGCAGAACTGAGGCCTGGCCCAAGATTAAAAATCATACCTCTGCAGTGGCAGCAATCCGCAGGGCTATGTTGTTTTCTCCAGCAGAGCTCAGCTACCCGGGCTGAGGAGTGGGAGAAGCAGAGTGGGGAGGATCAATCCCAGTGTGGGGGGTTGCAAGTCAGACACGCCAAAGGATGGGCAGAGCTGAGGGTGCTGAGGATGAGTGGCTGAAGTGATCAACCACAGACAGGACTGAAGGGAAGCAAGGTTGAGGCAGGTAAGAAATGGAGAGATGGAGGTCTGGAAGCAGGCAAGGCAAAGAGCAGATGTCATGGGATGCCAGGGTGAGAACCAGAGGGACAATAGGTGGTCATCACCAAGTGGGATGCTGGGATGTGAGCTTTCAGAGGTGGAATAGCTCTGAGTGATGGAAATGGGCTGCTGAGTGTAGTGGAGAATGAAGGTCACTGGAGTTGAGGAGCTGCAGTGTCAGATGGGTCACTCAGATGAAACAGGTATTGTTCCAGAAAGCAGGAAGAGAACTGGGTGCTAAAGCCTTCCATGAGTATGAGGGAAGTGGCTTGGGGTCAGGAAATGACAGAAAAAAAGGAAAGGGAGACAATCACAGGTATTTACAGGAACCAGTGCAATATTCAGTTTAACCACAGCACCCAGGGTGGACTGGGTAGAGGGGATTCACAGGAGGTATGGCTATCAGGATAGGTTGGGGTAGAACCAGAAAGATCTTTGAATGTCACACTAAGAAGCCAAAACTTCATTAAAAAGTCATAGGGAGTCACTGAAGGTTGTTAAGCACCTATGAGAAGTATATTTGGGGAAGATAACAGAGATAGCACTGGGCTTAGAGTCAGAAGAATGGGTTCAATAATAAACAGCAGCTACCATTTATTGTGCACTTACTCTGTACAGGCCACTGTGCTAAGCACTCTAAGGGGTTTGGCTCATCCATTTTCATACTGGACTCAGTTCAGCCACGTTTTAAGCTGTGTGATCTTGGGCCAAAATACCCTACTCCTTCCCTCTCTGGGACTCAGTTCTCTCATCTGTTAGCAGGAGGGGGACAGGACTAGGTATCCTTGCAAGGGCTCATCCATCTCTTGCCATTCTAGGCCTGTGCGGCCCTGAGGCCTGCAGGGTGTCACCCTCTTACAGATGGAATTCAAGAGACTTACAGCTGAAGGAGTTGGGAGCTGGCCCAGCAAGGTGAGCCCAAGCAGGACTCAACCACCTGGGGCCAGTCAAGGGAGGCAGAGCAGTTGAATAGCCTCCAGTTCTTTCTTGCTTCCCACTGGCTTGCAGAAAATCGGCGGGCATTCCGTCCTGAGAGAGAAGAGAGGGCCTGAGGAGAAGGAATCAGAAAGCACACCACCCAATCTTGTACCTTGAAAAGCTTGGCTTTGTCCCTCCCCATCCCCCCAGACTCCCCACTTTATACCTCCCACTTGCTCAAAGCATTCAGGGCCCTTTTCCCCAGCCCAGTTTACTTGGCTCTGAGAAGAAAAAGGTGAAGGAGATTTGTCCACTGCTCCTGCAGGGCCCTCTTGGGCAAACCTAAACCTTTAGCAAGGGATGTGTCCACTTCGTGCTATTCAGCTGAGAGCTGACAGTGGCAGATGCTCCTGCCTGGGTGGCATTAGGCCCTGGGACTAGGGTTAGTCTCCCTCACCAGTCTTGGTGTTAGCCACAATCAGTTCAACGGTCCATCTGAGGATGTAGGTGGGCCGGATCCCGCTGTCCCCCAAGGCTGGCAGCTCAGAGAGCATCCTCTCCAGCAAGGCCTGCGTGAAGGTCTGGGAGTGCAGGCCCCTGAGCAGGGGCTGCCAGAATTGAGAGAATGGCTTTGGCACCAGGACATCACTCAAGTCCACATTTTCTGGTTTGTGAGAAACATCCATTGATAAGGAGAGGGAAGGCAGGGAGGGAGAGAGATGGAGGGAGGGAGGAGAGAAGAGGGAAAGAGGGAGAAAGAGGAGGAGAAGAAAGGGAGGAGAGGGAGAAGAAGGGGCCCCACCAACAATAACAGAGTTGCCACCGCAGACAGGAGAAAAGAGGAGAGCAGAAAAGCGGGGGAGAGAAACCAGTTAGTATCCGGCAAACAACAACTGGCTTAACACAAAGTATAAAAGAAAAAGAACTCTGGTTCTAACTTCAACTTTGTCAATAACTCACTGTGTGACTCTGGGTCAGTACCTTCCCCTCTCTGGACCTCAGTCTGCCCATCTGTAACATGAGGATGTTGGACTAGATGACCTCACAAGGCCCTTCCAGTTCTGCTGTTCTAGCTCTCTAATGAGTGGCTAAATCACAATTAACACAGCACAATAATGGCATTAAGACCCCACCCCACTCCACCCCACCCTATCCCATGCCATCCCACCCAACCCAATTCCAAGCCACTTAAGAATAGCCCAGCAACTGCTTATTAGTGGGGCTACACCTTCTGCTCAGCCATGAGGGGCTTCCAGTGGCTATACAATGGCAGGAAACAGCCCTTGACCCCCAGTCCAGGACCACCCAGCCCACCCTTGATGTTCTTGCCCAGGATACACAGTACCCTAAGGCTGTAGTGGGCCTCCAGGACCCTACCTTCATAGTCTATCTGCAAAGCTGCCAACTGCTCAAATGTGGGGATGAGAAAGCCGTCATCCAGAAAAGCATCCAGCACAGCCTCCCTGGAACAAGAGGACACTAAATTAAGTACACTGAAGCAGGCAGAAGACCCTCTCCTACACTCCTACCCACTCCCAAGGCAGCAATGCCTCTGGCTCAAGTGGCCAAACCAGCATGGGGGAAAAGGCAGTTGACAGTTAAAGCCTTAGCCTCTCAGGGAAGGGGCTGAGCCAGAGACTGGGATCAGTGGGTTTTAAACAAGCATTTACCAAGCACATGCTCATCTAAGGCCCATAAGAAAGGCAGTAGTGGCTGAACAAGCCTGAAAGCACAGATGGAGAAAAGTCCCAGGCCCACGAATGAGTTAAATGCTGGAGGTCATAGGGTCAAGGGCTTTTAGACTCTAGTTCCTGCTCAGTCTTTCTCTTGACAGTCCTCCAGTTTCCTACCCCTCCCCCTCTGCCTGGTTGCCCATCAGATCTTAAAAGCACAAACTATGGGGACTCAATTCCTGGACCAAATAGTATCCTTATTCCTAGGGACCCCAAGAACCCAGAACTAAGATATAGAGGTTGAAAGCGTAAGCTATAGGGGTACTCGCTCATCCCTATCTAGCTCAAACAAAACCAGCAACAGCCAGCTGTATTCTCCAGAGCCAGCAGTTCCCTAAGAGAGGCTGTCCTCACTGACTGGGCCTAGAGGAGTAACAAGAGCTCCTAAGGTGTCTCAATGTCTGGAGGGTTGTCATGCTCAGATCCCTCCCTCTACCAGGCTTGGGGAAGAAAGAGTTGTCCTTCCATCCATCTCTTATCTCTTTAGGTCAGTATCTAGGAAGAGCACTTAAAGCAGTTAACCAGTTGCCTGCTCAGCACGACCGGGCAGACACTGCTGTATAGCACAGGGATAGTCTTCCCAGTTACTGGAGGGGCCACCACTCACCCCTTTGCTGAAGGGTGGCACAGCCAAGAAACCTAGGCTGTGCAGACATTGATAAAACACCTTTGGAACTAGTGATACCCTGGGAATAAAGAAGACACCAGGGACAATCCTAACCTACACTGCAGGCTCCCACCCAGGCCCACTCTACCACCCACACCACCTTCCTACACTCTCTGCTCCATCCTACATTCCTTCCAACCTCTTTCCAAAGCCCTTTCCAGCTGAATTGAGGTAGCACGCTCCAGAGAGCCAGGGAGGAGAGGAATGGGCATTGTCTGCTTTGGATTGAACTGAGCACTATTTAGAAGGAAAAAGCAGGCTCATGGCCATACTGAGTGGGTGAGAGGGGACTCAGTCTTTTGAGGATCCAGGCCCTTGGAAGGCCCCTCCTCTGTCCCAACCACAACTATCCAAGGCATGCTGACACTCTCTAAAAGCAGTTCAAAAGAAGAGACCAGCAGCACCCACCATATTATCTTTTGTGTCAAACTTGGACAAGGGCTAGGCAGCAAAAAAGCAAAGGATTAAGGGCTTTTCCTAGTTGCCAAGAGCTCTATATGCCACTGGACAAAGAGGAACAAAGCTGGCCAGGGGATGGATGACAACAGCCATTCCTGCCTCTGGCCATTTTCAGTGACTCAGAGCAGGAAACCCCCACCTGGTACCTGGCAGGGCTTGGGGAAGAGGATCATGAAGAATGCAGGGTCACCAGTGGGGGATCAAGATCATCCTTGGGTTTTCAAACAACAGAGATTTGCAAACTGGGATATGAAAACCAATTTCAGTGAGGCTGCTATGCTCTACTCTAGAGAGTAGGCAGCACCTGATTACCTAGTTACACACCTGTTCTCCCATGTAATGCCCTTGAGCTCTGCCAGGATGCATTCTACAGGTGGGGACATGTTATTCCACGCCTTAACAGCCTGAGGTAAATGCCTAAATTTCTCCAGCACCTGCCAGCAAAGAAGATCCCATCAGAAGGCTGGTTTTGCCAGGCAACCCTTTCCCACCCCTCCAGGATCCCTTCTCACAGGGACTCTCAGCACCTCCCTTTAGGGGATAGGGCGGAGTAGCAGGGGTGGGCCCAGAACTCCCCTATTGGCCCCGCTACTAAAAGTATCCTGACCCTTAAACTATAGATTTTCTCTTCTTTCTCCCTCTTCACCCCTCAAATTCCCCGTGGCTCCCAATAACCAGATACCTCAATACTGAGATATCCAATGGGGGCATTTGGTTGTTGCTGGGCAGAGACCCTTGGGCCAAGGGAAGCAATGGTTTATGGAAGAAAGAGAATCAGGAGACCCAGGTTCTAATCCTGGTTCTATCACTAATGGCATATGTGACCTTGGGCCAGCCCCTTCATTCATCCATGGCTTCAATTTCTTCATCTGTGAAAAGGAAGGGTTGAGATGAACGGCTTCTAAGCTACCTCCTTTCCTACTAAAACAGCACCCCCAAACTCACCTGATCTAGGAAAGTTCCTGGGCGCCATCTGCTGATCAGCTGCAGTACTGCAGGGCCATGCAACCAGTTATGCCCAGTTGTTCCCTACCACCTAGTGGGGCAGATTATCCACAAGCTTCCATCATCTGCTGCTTTCCATTGGCATAGAGGATCAGCCAACTGGACTCTGCTCCTCTTGTCTCCTTCCTGTTTCCCCCCCTCTCTTTCTTGGGAAGTTCCCTCAAGCTTTGCCACTTTTCTCCCAAATTCTTTCTTAGGACTTCTCTCAGGTAGTTGGCAAGAGGGAAGGAATAGCTGGGGCAAGTGAGAACAGGCCAAGTTAAGGGTACACTCTGTTACCTTAAACTGCTCCTCTTCATATGATACCAGCAGTTCTCGGGCTCTTTCTGAAAACAGAATAGGGTAACAGATGGGGCAGCCAGCCCAGCCTCCTGCTCCTGATGGAATTTTGAGCCCCCTCACCTCGTTTTGTGAGTTGTAAATTGGGAACTAGAATTCTTGCCTCTCCTGCTTCATAGGGCTCAAGGAAGATAATCTGTGACTGTAATTTTGTTAAGCTAAGACTCACCACAGCCTCAGAGGAAATGCTGAGCCAGGAAAATAACCAGTGTCAACCTTAAGCCTGAGCCTTCCAAGCTCTTGGGCCCCTTTCTGCACCCCGTATGACACCTACCATACAACTCTTTATGTCTCTGAGCCTTTTGCAATTGTGAATCAACCTCTTTGTTGCCTTCGCTGTCTCCATCAGCCTTGACATCTGGCTCTGCACCTTTCTCCTCATCCTTAGGCTCTGGTTTCTGTTCTGGGATGTCATCAACAACAATGTTCTTATCTTCCTCTTGGTCTTCTTCATCTGTTTCTTCCTTGTCCTCCTCCAAATCCCAGGTCTCTCTCAGGCTGTTCTCCAGTTGGCGGCACCAGTAGGTCTTCTGGAGCCAATCCAGGACAAAGTAGCAGCCTACAGGAGGAGAGGAAGGAAGGTGGTGCCATAGGAGCAGCCCCAGGCAAGCAGCTCCTCACAGGCCCCCAGCCTCTTGCAAGCATTATGGGAAGAAAGGCCCCAGGGAAGAGGCTTGGCTCCAAGAAGGCACAAATCGAAAATATTCAGAAGCAGCCCCTCCTGCTCTGGGTTATTCCCCTGCTCTTTGCTTTTTCCTGCTCACCAGCACCTTTCCTACGAAAAAACCACTAATACCAGACTTGAAGATGGGATGCCAAAAATGGCATGGGGCTAGCAAGTGGGAGAACAGGGACCCAGTAGCTAGTTACATGGCCTTAGCCAAGTCTCTTCCCTTTTCTAGATCTCAGTTTCCTCAATGCAAAGAGTTAGGCAGAATCAGGGGTTCATAGTTGGGATGGGGTGTCCAAAGAACCCCTGGGTTCAAGACACCTGATGGCTCACATCTCTCAACCCACATCCCACTCCCTGCTTCAGGTACAAAGTTTAAGGGGATGCCAAAACACTCAGTAATTGAGATATCAAAACAAGATCAGAAGAGTGCCCTGCCAAGCTATATTGGAGCCTGAGGCAAAAGAAGAAATCAGTAATATTAATCTTATCTTTATTTTTAAATTCTGGTATTTTCTTTATCATGAGTTTTTTTCCTATTAAAGTGTTATTTCTCTTGATTGCTGAGCTTTTGACACTCCCTTAAAGTTTGTGTCCAAGGCAAGTGCCTCACTTACCTCACTCTAGTCCTGGCTCTGACCTCAGGTGAAGACCCTCCTCCCTCTCTCTCTCTCCCCACAGTGCCACCAAGCTCAGGCCTCTGGGCTTAACTGTGACAGGTATACTCCCTGGGGACTCACCCCTGCGGCAGTCATTTATATGGGGCATTTTCTTGTGGGTCAACTCATGGCGAAGTTCAACAATCCAATCTGGAATATTCACCTGATTGCAGGGGAGGGTGTGAGTGCAGAAATTAGAAAATATTAAAGCTGAAAGGGACCATAGAGATGAATTAGCCTGGCTTCTCCCCATTTTACAGATAGAGAAATTGAGAGGTGGTTCTGGTCTTCGTGGCAGAGCCAAGATTAGAAACCAGGTCTCCTGATTCTTTTTATGCTCTGTGGAGGTGATCCTGAAAATTAGAAGACACTCACCTCCCCCAACCACCAACTACCCTCCACCAACAAAGATTCCTGTGAATGAACATTAACAATCACTTTCTCCAGCTTCCCTCTGCCCTGTTAATACCAGTCCCTCTCCCAGGGTTCCCTCTCCCTCCCTCTCTCCTTCCCTCCCCCACTTCCTCCAGGAAGCTTCTCTTGATGGCTGAGAACCTGCCTGCCCTCTGGGTCTCTACACACCTCACATACTCACTCAGGGCAGGGATGTCTGGCATGTTCATGCTGCTTGGTTGAGTTTGTTTCCTCCCTCAGGCTATCAGCAACCAGAGGACAGGCACTTTAACAGCCACCTCTTTCCTGTCCCCATCCAGTGGTGCACTGGGGTGCCTCAGCTTCAGCTGGGCCACTCCCAACAAGCTGGGCAAGCCAAGCCCATGGAAGATAGCAGCCATGAGCAAGGGAGCAAGTCTGCTTCTTTCAAGTTGGAGGCTGAGGCTCTGGGGTTCTTGCTGGGCTTGGCTGGTAGTGATGGGACAAGCTAGTCTAAGTGTGTACCCACATCACCCCATGCCCCATTTAGTGAGCCCTCATGGGGAGAATTAAGCAAGGCCACTTTATCATACGCACCTCCTGAGCCAGGAACTTGAGGGGGAGCTTGACAAACTTTGTCTTCCTCTCCGAGATAAGATTCACAAACCTGAGTTGGGGGGGGGGAAATAAGTGGCACAGCCCAAGTAACTCTTTTATTCAAACCAATGGGGCTTCAATACACCTTGCTGAGTTACTGACACCTTGCATTTCCACAACCTTTCCAATGACTGTTCTGTCCTGTTCTCATGGTTGGTGTCAGCCAGAGCAAGAATGGTTCCATCCAGTCCAACATTTACTGAGAGTCTGCCCTGTACTGAAACCATACAGATGAATAAAGACACTGCTCTGGCCTTGAAGAGTTAAATCTAGGGTAAATAATCATGACATAATATAACATATTATATTATGACATAATATAACATATTATATTATGACATAATATAACATATTATATTATGACATAATATGTTATAAATGCTAGAACAAAGGACTACATCACATGATACAGGGAGCACAACTAAACAATGGAGAAGGTAAGAAGAGCTAGGGAGGACCTCAAGGCAGACAAGTGGAACAGTATGAGCTAAGCAAAGACTTTGACAGATGAGAAAACTCAGAGGCAACCTTTTTCTCGAAGTGCATGAGACAGCTAGAACCACTCTGAGTCACTTTGTAAGTCAGGAACTCCTGGCCTATGTCTCCATTTCCACAACTTGGAAAATTTTCAGTGTTCATGGAGAGAAGGGGAAAAGGGTAGTGTTAGGTATAGATGGGGGTGGAATTAGAAAATTCACATTAAATCATGGCCAAGGATATCAAACCATTCAGAAAAGTTCCTCTGGGTGAAAGAGTTAAAGGGGAAAAAATCAAACTGCCAAATCTGGAAGAATCCACAGAAATCACTTGGTCTGAACCACTCCCACCCTATATTTGAAAGAAAGGTAAAGAAAAATGGAAGAGAGAAGGCTCTCAGGAAAAAAGAGGAATGTGTGTTAACAGGGTGTACCAAAAGCTGTAAAGTTAAGCAATCACAGGGTGACCCATACACAGGGACACAAGGCTTTTTGCTTCAGGTAGAACCCAAAGCCAAATTCTGCTTATCATGTGTTACCCCCACGCCGCCCACCCCCAAGACCACCCCCACCCCTACCCATGTAGGTCTTACCTGACCAATGCCATGCCATAGAGCAGTCTAAGTTCATCAGTGCCCAAGCCACCAGTTACATCCATGAGCTTACAGCGTACCAGGTCAGCAGTAGAAGCCACTGCCAGGGGGAGTTCGTTGCCTAACCTAAAGGGCCACAGTCCAGCACCATCATAAAGGTCCCTTACACTGGCCCACCCTCCTCAGAACCTAGCTATAGCTGTAGGCTATTCCGATTAGATACTGGCTCAAGAATGTGTGAACAGACACAAATCAAGAAGGTGGAAAGAGGGAGGGTAAGGTCCCTGAAATCCAGTAATATGTAGGGCATGAGAGGCTGGTTAGAGTATGCACAGGACATCTAACTGCTACTGCAACCAATCACTAATTAAGTGTGGACACACCCCTTTCTTTCACCCTGAAACCTTCAACTCATTCAGCTAGAAAAGACCCTTATTCTTGGAGACATTTACCCCTTATCTGCTCTCAACTCAATCTTACCAAATGGACTGAGGCGCCCCAGTCAAACATGGTTTTGCAGGCAAGCTCCCCCCCCACCTTTCCTAACCAGAAATCCACCCTAGAGCGCTACTCCTTAAGCCCTGGCTCAGCCACACTGGTCCCTCCAGCACCCTGCCCAAATGGGAGAAGGTAAGAGTTAAAGCTCGCAGATCTGACAAGAGATTGTTGAGGCACACACTCCCTTTCTTTCCACAAATGGGATCAGTGCAAGAGCTTGGCTGTGATCTTCCCCAGGCGCTTGGGAGAGGGGAAATGCCCAAACCGCTCGTAGGGGGACCATTAGGCATTTAGAGGAAGACTGGATAATAAGGCCTTAAGAAAATCCTACAAAGAAAGAGATGAAATGCCACCAGCACGCAGGCAGAAGGGCTAAGCCTGCTGCCTTACCTGCTCCTCCACACGGTGATGCGGTTCAGCGCGTACCGCTGCAATTTGTGGTCGTCACAGAACAGATACACCGTCACCTGATCCCACTCGGCCTTACTGAGCCAGGCGACCACGATGCGTTGGGCCCAGAGTGGCGGCAACCCTTTCTTTTTGACGCACTTTCCGCACCACCCACTTAACACGCGATCCATCCCCTGGGGACTCAGACCAGTCCCAATCCCGGATTCCCACCAGACACTGGGATCAATGCCAGGCCTAGTGCCGCCGCACTCCGAAAAGCCTTCAGCTCAACGTGCTACCCTCACACCAAACCGCCGCCGCACTAGCAGCCAATGGGAGAGCGTGACCTGGACGCAAGCCCGCCTCCCAGCGTTAGCGTAGCAAATCGAATCGCGAGAGCTGGAGGTCCATCGCACCACAAATTGCGGGTACGGCCTCGCCGACCGGAAGTGTTCCTTACTCAAAGCAGCCCTACCAGCTGCAAGTGTTCAGCCTCAAGGTTCCTATAATTTCCTGGTTGCTAACCGGCTTCTGTTCTAGACCCGGAGGGATTTTAATTTGCGCCCTTCGGCAGGCAGGGGAGGAAATTGCGGTCATCCAGTATACTGCAAATGCACTAAATGTTTTCATTGCCGTGAATCAGCACCCGACCAAGTAAAACACTATGGACACTGAAGCATGACAACAGAGAAAATGTCTAATATCTAAATATTTAAAGTTGGGTTAAAAAATCTGCTGGATTTTCATAGCTGTATGGTGAGAAGCTTAGACTGGGTGATCTCTAGGTTCTTTTCCATTGCTTAAAATTGTAGGATTTTACACTGCCAGCATTCTACTGCTATGTTGGCTTCAACAAAGCAAAGGTATACTTAGTTTTTCTGCACAATTCTTTGGGATTCTGGAGTTCTGGGGAAAAAAGCAATGTTATGAAGCAGTTCTGATTTTACAGGTTGGCTAAAATGTGTTCAAGACCTTGTCCCAAACCCTCTCACAGAAGTTATTTTCCAATCTAACACTTCAGAGGGAACTATTGCTAATGATCTAACAGCATCACTGCAAATAGCTCTTTTTCATTTTACAGCAACAAATTCCAATGAATTCTCCACATGTGCTTTTCTCCAGCCAGCTTCTCCTAAGATCTAGTTTGCCCATGGTTTTTGGATGATAGTTACTCTGTCCTGAGTAGCCATAAAAAACTGTAGGCCAGGTGTCTTGCAGAAACCAGATACACTTTCCACATTTTGGATCTTGGCTGTGTGTAGGCAAAGACAGGGAGATGGCTTATATGACCCCTTAAGGGCCAATCCAGTCAGAGGAGCTGCCACATCTGTAGGAATCATTCATGAACATTTTGGTGGTTTCCAGGTTAATTTTGTGCTGCTTCCATTAATTTTATTTAATTTTTTATTATTTTTATTTTTTTAACTTTTTTTATTGAGTAATAGTCATTTTACAATGTTGTGTCTCCAGCTTCATTTTGGATAGTACTTTTCAGGTAAAGACCCCATCCTTCCTCTTTCCTTCACTCATGATGCTGAAGGTCTCCCTATCATGCGTTCCAAGAAAACTTGACCAAGGCACATAACAAGACCACCATGTCTAATATGTGGCAGATGAGTCTTGAGACCTATAAAGAATTATGAATTGCTGGATCAAGGTTGTTAAATGGTGATAGCTTTGAGGAGGCACTGTATTAGTTTCCTGCAGCTGCTATAACTGCTATAATTTCCACAAACTTGGTGGCTTAAAATAATAGAAATTATTTCACAGTTCTGTAAGTCAGGAGTCTAAAATCAGTATTATTTTGCTGAAATAAAGGTGCTGACAGGACCATAGTCTCTCTGAGTGCTCTAGGGGGAAATCCATTCCTTGTCTTTCTCCAGCTTCTATAGGCTATTGGCATCCCCTGGCTTGTAGCCACATCACTCCAATCTTCAAGGCCAGCATCTTCAAATGTCTCTCTGCTTCATCTTCACTTCACTTTTTCTCTCTGTGTGTAAGATTCCCTCTGCCTCCTTCTACTACAAGTTATTGCATTTAGGAACCATCTGGATAATCCAGGATAATCTTCCCATTTCAAGATCTTTAATTTAATTATATCTGCAATTAAATGTATTTTAAAATTTATTTTATTGTATAAAGTAGCATTCTTTTATTTTATTTATATATTTTACCCTATAAAGTGGCACTCACAGGTACCAGAGATTAGGATGTGGATGTCTTTGGAGAGGGGTGGTTCAGCTTGCCACAGGCAGTATGGAATCCATCCTGGCACATGCTCAAGAATCCTAAAAATCCCTAGGCATGTGATGCTGCAGGATACCTCCAGCTGTACCAGTGGGCTTCAATTAAATGAGCACTCTCTAAGTCTAAGGCATTACTCATAAGATCTTGAAGTATATCTAATTTGTCTTCAAGCTACTGCTTCTCCTTATATATGTCACCATTTCTCTTCTACCCATCCCCACTTTTCTGCATCCCACTCACCTAAGGCAGTCCCAAGGCCCCTACTGAGCACCTGCCTCTAAATTGACACCCTTCAACCCTTCAGCTCTAATCCTAATCTGTCTCTGGAGCTCCAGGCCCATTTAAACATCTCCCAATTGCACTCAATATCAATCTGTCCAAAACTAAAATATTTTCCCTATAAATCAGCCCCCTCCAATATCCTTCAATCCTTATAAATGGTAACACTATCCAGTCACAATCTCTGTTCTCAGACAGCTTGGGCTTGAATTCTGGCTTCACCATTTACTACCTGTAAAAACTCGAGCAAGTTATTTAACTTCTATATGCTTCATTTTTTTCATTTAAAAATGGAGAAAAAGCATTTACTTCACAGGACTGTTATGTGGATTAAAGTGTAAAGCCCTTAAAACTGCACTCAGCACATTGTAAGCACTTGAAATATTAGCCTATATTGCTATTAACAGTATCATCCTCCGCTATTGCACTTCCTCCCTCACCTCCATGCTGCCCACAACTATATAATCTGTCTAGTGAAGTCTACTTACTATTTTTGAAAACAGTTCTCTCCTTGACATCCTCATGGCCACTGCTCTAGTTCAAGCTTTGGTCCTCTCTGGATCATGTATTACTTACCTAACTTGTCTCCCCTACTCCATCCCTTACACAGTAGGGAAGGGGGGGGTCTCACAAACTGGAACCTAATCTTGTTAGAATCATAAATTCCCGGACTGTTTTCCTGAAATGTTAGGCACTAAATGGCTTTTCAAGGGTTTTTTACATTTTGGTTCTAACCTACCTCACGTCCAGTTACTGTCTGAACCACGCTGAAGTTATTGTTAGTCTATGAATATTCAAATCTCCTATAAGCATCTATGCCTTTTTCTGTTATGTTAGCGTTCCTAGAATGTTCTTTTTTCTTCCCTCTTTTTTGGCAAGCCACTATTCATCCTTTAAGAGTGAACATCCTTTGTCAAATCCAGTTCTCTCAAGCAGAGTAAATCTTAGGCCCTTCTCTGAGCCACCACACCACTTTGTGCATCCTTCTATTGGAGGAAGAGAGGGAAAGAAACACTTGCTGAATGCCTACCATGGGCCAGGCCCTGTGCTAAGTGCTTGATAACATTAAATTTTATCTGAGTCCTGAGCTCCAAGGAAACAGCCTCAGTTGAGAAATTTCCCCACTCTTTCTTGTTCTTAAACAAACAAACAAATCCCAACTAATTGTTAAGAACCACATTGCCCTGGCATATTCTTTTGTTTTGTTTTTTTGGGGGGGGTGTAATTAGGTTTATTTATTTATTTATTTATTTATTTAAATGAAGGTACTGGGGGTTGAACCCAGGACCTTGTGCATGCTAAGTAAACACTCTACCACTGAGCTATAACCACCCCGCCCTGGCAATTCTAAGACCTTCTCCGTACTTCCTCATGACTCCCATAAACTTGTGATGACTCCTTTGTTTACCTGCCTTTATAAAATCCTAAATTTAATTTCTTTGCTTTAAGCCTTCTCCCCCTGGCTATAGCCTGAATAAAATCATCCCCTTAATTGACCCGTGCATTTTATCTTTCACATGGTCCTCACAATTCTGTGAAGTTGGTTTTGTTCTTATCACTTTACAGATGAGAAAACTAAAGCTCAGCTGCATAGCCTAAGATGACATTATTAAGAAAGAAGAGAAATGCAATTCTCTCCCAGGTCTGTGTAGCTCTGAAGCACAGGCTTTCCATAACCCTCAGACACGGGCTGTGATTTACCTAAGTAAACAGGTCTGCTTCAAATCATGAGAGCTTCAAAAGTAGGGAAATTCAGGGCTCCAATTAACCTTAACCCTTGTTTGCTGCATGGATTCCGGAGGAAACCACATCAACTCCTACTAAGGAGTTTTGCAGTTTTTCTCAAACTGTGTTTTTAACCCAAGCCTTTTTTTGATAAGTGGAAAAAACAAAAATGAAAAGCTAAAATTCTGAGCCAAAGGAGAATTTATATTTTAAATGGAGAAGATAGTGCTTTATCCATAGGAATGGAACCTTCTGAGGAATTTCAGGCCTGTTGGGGATGGGGGTGGGAGTACAGGGTTAATGTCCCTTCCAAAACCTCCAGCCTTCTAAAGCCATAAACTGGCAGAGTTTCCTCAGAGAATTAGGTAACCCACTCAAATATGGAAGCTTTTCATTGGCTGCTGTGCCACATTTATCGTTCTATCCAACAATACTTAGAATCAGGTGCTGGGAGGTGATAGCCAGAGAACACATCTCAGGCTAACTGCCTCCTTCTATTGTACGATCCTCTCTAGAATCATAATATTCTCCCAATGGAGGGGGCCCCAGAGTTCATCTTATCCAGTCCCCTGACTAAATAGATTATATCTCAGTCAAATGGGAACCTATACCCGCTTAAGGATTAGTTTTAGACCCTAACAATGCTCACAGCGGGAAGTTATTATTTTTGTCTAGCCTCCATCTTTTGTACTGCAGTTGCAATGTGGCTTCTTTCAGCTCTTGCCAAAATGGTGGACAGCCTTATAGATTCAAAGTTTCCACTCAACCCTTAATCTACCTGGACAAGGCCTCTCTTCCAATTCTTAGATTGTGTATTTCTCCTTAATAAAGCCAGATGCTCCTCTACTACTAGCATGAAAGTTTAGATTGGAGCACTGCAAACTGGCTGACAGAGGGGATCATCCCTTTCAGGGATCTATCAGCATTTATCTAAGGCAGTAGTTTTCAAACGTTTCTGGATCCAGACCTACTGTAAGAAATACATTTCACTTCATGACTCATTTCACTTGTACATATGTGTAACTGAAACAAAATTTCCATGAAATAATTCTCACCCTTACTACATGCAATTCAACTCT